GCCCGCCCCGGTTCCCCTCGCCCGCCGCCTCCGCGCGCCACCCCGCTCGGAAGTGTAGGGCAGGCGGGCCAGGCGCTCGCCTTTAAAAGGGGCCGCGGGTGGGGGTCCACCTCCTCGCTGGGCAGGGGAGCCGGCCAGCGGCTGGTATCAGCTCTCCTACCACGGTGCTGCCCCTTGCTGGCTGCCCCCCGGGCTCTGGTGTATAGGGGGGCACTGGCAAAGCTGCGCCCTGGTTTGCTTGGCGGGAGACAAGAGGGTCCAAGGCACAGCTTGATGCCAGCAGAGCAGCGGTAGCCATTTCCCCGCCTCTCCTGCCAAGTCTCCACGCGCTTTGGGACCTGAGGGAAGAGGATGGAAATGGGCTTTCCTCCGAGGGGACATAGGGCAGGACCCCAGGGCCTTGCTGCAGAGCCAGTGGGGCCCAGCTCCGCTGTGTGTGTGTCCCAGCAAGCTGGTGGGAGAAAAAAGGCCCCTGCTGCTCAAGGGCTGGTGCCTCAGCGGCCAGAAAACGCTGCCGAGCAGCACTGAACGGTCACAGAGGTGATGTATGTGACGCCAGCACCATCAAGCACTCCAACTACAGAGAGGGCTTCCACCTCTGGCTCCACGTGGGCTATAGGCTGAGGGGTGACAGTGGCCCACAAATTAAAAGATTTGGCTGCGCCTGAGAGAGGCCCCTGCCCAGCCACGGGAAGACTCAGGCCTTCTCATCTTACAGCTGCAACACCACATCCTAGAACCACCAAAAGGCCTGGCTAGGCAGCCTTCTCTGGCAGCCACCCTGGGCATTTTAGACCTAAGGGGTCTAAGTAGGGTGGCCATACTAATTTTAGGGAAATCTGGGATGGGGGCACCCTCTGCATTGCTGCCTGCCTCCCTCCTTTTCTCCCTTAACAGGATTGTAGCTCAGGCATCCTCCTGTCCTGCCAGGGGAAGGGGCATGCTGCTGGCACCAAGGGATCTGCCAATTGCCCTCCTGCCTGCTTGGGGCAGCAGCCTGTGAAACCCCTCTCCAGCCACCACCACCAACTCTATCCCTTCCTCAGTGCTGTACAGCTTGGTCCACAGTAGCCACCTCTCTTGACTCGGTGGAGGTAGGAGCCCAGCAGGCAACACCAGCAGCGGCTCCACTGATTAATCTCCCCCACTCCCACCACAGCTCAGCAGCAGGAATATAGCCAGGCACCCCCCAGCGTGTACCTCCATACCCCCTCTCCACATAGCCACACAGGCACAGCTTCCAGTGGCCCTGATGACAGAGCAGGGTGGGATAGGACAGCACAGAGGCCCACAACCAGGCTCCATCCCCCATGCACAGTCTGGACCAGATCTTGGAGTTGGTCCGAGGCTGCAGTGGGAGGCTGAGTGCCCATGTGCATGCCCCAGCCCAGCAGTTCAGTCCTTGGGGGAAAGAAGGGGCAGGGGCTAGATCGAGGCCCCTGCAGTGAGGGACAGTGCTGTGGAGGCAGGAGCAGGGGTAAATTGAGTGGGGCCATGGCTGGGTGAGACTTGCCTGCTAGGGAGGCATGCCCCTAAGTAATTTTTTCTCCATTTGCACGCCCCCTCCCTCCCCACAGATTTACCTGCTGGGCCGGGGTTGGGGGGGGGAGGAAAGAGGGTGGTGGCAGCGCATGGTACATCTTGGGTTGCTTTTAAATGCCAAAGGTGGCCTCCTACTTAAAAAGGTTGGAGACCACTGCATTACATAGTTTGCTGAAACCCATCCTTATCCACCTTCCCTATGCTTGCCATGAAGGACGAGCCAGAATTCATGATCCAACACCCCTGCCGATTCAGCTTTCCAGCCCAAAGCCCTGCCACACACCAATGGGCTCAGGACTGATGCTTGTGTCACTGAGGCTTGAAAGAAGAGTTTCAACTTGCACCCTCAAATAGCGGGCTCAATTCATGAGTGCCAGCAGATCAGGAGAGCCCCACAGCTGGAACGTAGAACCTTTACCTTTAAAGATCAGCACCCAAAGGCATTCAGACACAGAAGCAGGCAATGTTTAAGGCAGCAACACTCCCCTCCTTTGTGGCTGGCAGCATTGCTGTGGACTGGTGTCAGGGGCTACTCCATGCCCTGGCCACAGTTTGCCAAAACCAATCTGCCAAGACCTATTCTTATTCCAATGCTCAGTGTGAAGTAGGGCCTGGAATGCATGATCCAACACACGTGCCCCTTCAGTTCTCCAGCCCAAAGCACAGCCACTCATCCGATAGGCTCAGAAACCATGCTTGCATCATCATGGCTTGAAAGAAAATCCTCAACTCACACCCTCCATTATGGTTAATTCACTCACAGTAAAAAGCATTAATAGGTGCTAGTTACACCTTAATATGTTTCCTATTTTAGGCCTTGGCTCCTATGACTGTCTGGTGAGTCCTGCCACATTGCACCCCAGAGCCATGCTCCTGGCTCAATGTGCTGAGGAGCCTGCCTGAGCTATGTTTACTTTGTGGTGGGAAACATGCCACGGCCTCTTTAGAAAGGTGCCTCAGCCCAGGCAGAACAGGTTTTATCCCTTCATACGCTATGGCTTTTGCTTTGCTGCAAAGAAAAAAAAAATAAAGTGGGCATGTTCCACGAGGACCAAGTAGTCAAAGGTTTTGGAAACAGAAGCTTGTGCTTGTGGGACCAGCACCTAAGTTATTTAGTCACAGGAGCTGGTCTTCCTGGATGTCTCTGTAATAGGGGACCTAGACCCTATTACTTGCACATAAACAAAAAGGAGGAGTGATAACTGTGGCCAGGAGGCTCCTGCCTCTTAAATGCAGCACAGGCTGAGGGGCCACAGTTGCAGGAAGGCAGGCTGGCTCTTGATTGACCTGGGATACCCTGTGCAGAGGTGGGGAAGGCACATGATCCAAGTGAGTGTGGCTTCTAGGTATATAAACCCAGGGCCTGAACCAGAGCAAGCAGTCAGATTTAGTATGCTGAGGGGGTGAAGAGCACTTGGCAGGGATGCCTGCAGCAAATGGAGTAACAGGCACATGAATTGTTCCCTGCATCTGCCTTGGGGGAGCTAAGGGAAGCTGATGGTCTGAGCAGGACAACAACCCACAGCTTGGTAGGCTTTTAGTTGGGAGCAATGTCTGGTATTTATGTTGTAACTCTAGCTGTATACTGGAGGACTAGGTTGTGATTATAGGGGAGGTCTGGAAGCCAAGGAGCCATGGCTGGTAGGGCACTTAACATTAGGCAGATTACCCAGGGTCAAGGATCTAAGGGCTGGAGAGATGCGCAGCCTGGCTCTGGTCAAGGCCCAGAGGGCTGAGGACTGGAGAAATAGGCAGCCCAGTCCAAGGGAAGGAACCAAAGGCCTGAGGATGGAGACAGTGAGGGTAGCCCAGCCTGAGATCTGGCACCCTGGGGGCTAAGGGCAGGCCCAGAGTGAGCAACCCAGGGAACTGACAGGACTGAGACCAAGAAAGTTGTACCCAATCAGTGGGCCAGGACTGGAGGTCTGCAGCCAGAAGAAAGGGAAGCTAAAATTAAGAGGGCTGGAGCCTCTACAAGGGACAGAATGTGGTACAGAGACCCATGACTTGCAGATGTTAATGGCTGCAGAGGGGGAGGGGGGAAACGAGACCATGACTTTAGCCCTTAACTTACTGAAACCTGTCCTCATCAACGTTCCCAATGCTTGGAATTGTACTTGAACAGGAATGCATTACTCAGTATGCATAGGACTTGAACTTTCCAACCCAAGCCCTGTTACTCATCCACCTGGCTCAGGAACTATCCTTTCATCACATGGGTTGGAAGAAAAGCTTCAACTCTTACACTCCATTGAGGTTAATTCAATTGCAGTAATAAGGGCCATATCGTATACATCTTGTATTTTTCCTTTTTCAGACCTGGATGCTTATGACATGGCCAGCTATGCCCTGCAACTTTGCACCCCAGAGCCTTGCTGCTGGTCCAGTGGGCTGAGGAACCTGCCTGAGCTACATTTATTTGGCAGTATGCAGTCTGGTGTGGGCGGAAAAAGTCCTCAGCCCCTCCATAATAGGTGCCTCTGCTCAGCCATGACAGGCCATAGGCAGCCCTTCATGTGTACAATATGCTTCCCTGGACATACAGAGCAGCTTGGCTGGGCAGCCTTCTGGCTCAGCCCCCTGTCTCCACAGTGCACACAGAGACCAAAGGAGAAATCCAACTGGCTGGACTGTTTGTTAACTCTGGGACAAGAAAATCAAGGAAGTCAGTAGTCTTCTTGTCAGGAGCTTGGGTTTGGGAGTGCACTGATGTGAACAATGTAGAGTGCTTCTGGTGGCCTCATCCTCATTGTCACTGCCAGTCTGATGAAGATGACGTATAGGCTGGAATTGGGTGGCGGGGGAAGAGGTTGGCTACATGTCTTGACCTGTGCCGCTTTCTGCTCCAGAGCTCTGCCGCTGCACAGGTGAGCTCAGGAGCCCTTGAAACTCTGCATCATGGAGGATATGTTAACAAGTGTTAATAAGTGTTAATTATACTTCACTTACACCTGATCTACCTCATGGCTGATTAGCCTTCTGGCCCACAGTATGGCCAGTGAAGTTTTACAAATTGGCATCCTAGAGCCCTGTTACTGGCCAGCTGGGCTCAGGCATTGGGGTTGGGGCAAAAGAAAAAGCCTCGGTCACCCACAGGCAGGGACCTCTACTCCAGCAGAGAGTTTGCAGGCAGCTTTGAGCTCCAGGCCTGTTGTTTGGCAGCCACAATTCCCAATTCCAGACATACAAAGAAGTGCTGTTTGGTGGCTCCTCATGACTCCATATATGGTATGGGCTGAGGAGTTGCTGAGACCCAAAGTTTCTAACTTGAACTGTTTGTCTTTGTCCAGGCAGGCCCCCTGGCCAAACCAAGAAATCCGAAGGAAGGTGTGAATGCAGGAGCTTGCTACCCATGGCCACAGGGTCCATGTCTGGAGTTACAAAAAAGCTTGCCTGCCTGGTTTGCTCCCACCATTTCTTTGTATCAAATGGAAGCAGTGGTCTGGGCTGCACTGACCCATAGTAATAGGATTGGACACTGTTGACAGCAACTAGGAGTCTTGAATCTTGAGTACTGAAAGCAGGCAACACAACCATGGTGCTATGCAGGAGGTGCTCCTAAAGGCCTGCTGATGTCCCCCCCTTTGTGCATGTGCAGCCTTGCAGGGCCCAGAGCCTCTAAACTTCCAAGCTGCCAGGCTCTCTCACTCAGCTTCCTTGTGCATTATGGAGCCAGGCATCTGTGCCTCGCCTGTCAAAATACTAAAAAAGAAAAAAGGAAGATGCCCGTTCACTCAAGGGTGTGTGGGTAAGAAGAAGCAAAGATCTTGAACCCTGCTCCTTGGGTTTAGGAGACTAGAAAGTTAATCAGCAGGCTACAGGAGTAAGTTTTTTCACTACTCTCAGGATGCCCCCCCTGTTGGTGAATGAGTAGTCTTGCAGGGCAAAGTGGCCAGATCCTGGACACTGCTCCATGCCCTAACCACAGTTTGTCAATCCCCATCCTCATCCATGCTCAGAAAGAAGTACAGGCTGAAACCAGAGGGTCGTTCAGACATATCAATCCTTCTGCTTTTTGCCCTGGAGCCCTGCCACTGCTCAGGTGGTCTCAGGGATCCATCAGAGCTCTGCTAGTTTCAGCAGTCATGGAAGTAAAGCCTGAACTCCCTCCCTGTTGAGGTGGCTCCGAAGCCACTGAGCTATGCTTGTGTAGGCACCAGGAGAAATTTTTACCAAATAAGAGAAAGCCACAGACAGACCTAAACTCACAATTTTTCACTCCTAGGCTGCCATACGCAGTTGTGGAGCCAGTGAACAGATCAGCTAGGCATCCTTCTCCCTCTGCCTTGTGTAGTATGGACTCAGGGGTTTTGGGTCAGAGGCAGCTAGGAAAGAAAGCCTTGGCCAGCAGGCATCTCTGCTAGTCTGAGACAGCTGAGTACAGACCTAAACCTAAACCTGAACCTAAACTTGCTATCTAGTGGCTGCAATGCACAACCTGAGAGCTACTAAGCAGCCTGGTTCTGTGACTCTCTCCAAGTTCATATGTGGTATAAATCAAGTGTCACGGTGGCCCAATTTTTTTTTTTAAAGGAAGTTTAGGACACATGATTGGGCCTTTTGCCCAGCCAGAGGGAACCATGGGCAGGCCTGAGCTCAGGACTTTGTCCCCCAGCTGCAACACCCAGCCCCAGGGTTAACAAACAGTCCAGCTGGTTGGGTTTCTCCCTTGGTCTCTGTGTGTGCTGTGGAGTCAGGGGCTGGGACTATAACAGAAGGCCTTTCTGGAAGCCTTATGCTGTCCTCTGTGGGTGGGTAGTTTTGAGGGGAAAGCCCAGTGTACTAGATCCAGCACACAGGACCTGGTTCTGGTACACAGGGTCACGAGGAGGTGATATGGGGCCCTAGAACCAGATCCCCACATGCAGGACCAGGCAGAGGTGATGTGGGGTCTTGGGGCTCTGATCCTGGCATGCGGGGCCTGGTAGAGGTGATGCCATCCAGGTCCTGGGATGCAGGGTCCAATACAGCCCACAGACCAGCCCCATGCCACTTTTGTCCCACAGGGCCAGAAGATAGAGCACTACTGTCTTAGGTGGTTTGGAAGGAAGAGTGATGCCCCATGATTCTCGGTCTTGCTTCCAGCCAAGTGTCTATTTGTGTATCTATGTCTATCATTGGCTGGATCTGGCCAAAGTCAGGTTGAAGTATGGCTGAGGCCTGGCAGGTTGTTAGTCCAAGACGGGACAGAATAGGAGAAAGGCCTAGAGAGAAAATGCTGTAGATGTAGCTCAGTAGTTGGTTTGCTAGCTTGTCAAGGTCAAGGTGTTTAGTTCAAGAATTATGTCTGCCTTTTGCAGAAGGACGAGTGATTTGCCTTTGAAGAGTAACACAAAACGAGGCTGGGACACAAGGGTATGCAGGTTTGGTACTCTGTAACTCGGGGCTGGCATTTGGCCATGGGAAGGGGGAAAGATGTGAGGTTAAGGCTGCAGTCCTGCATTTTTTCTAGGCAGATGGGCCTTCTCTGCTCTTCAGAGGCCTTGCCACGAGACTGCTGACTTGCTCTTTTCACTAGACTCAAGCATAGCTTAGATCAACTTCTGAGCCCACCTGACCAGGGGCATGGCTCTGGGGTGTAAAGTAGCAGTCTGGCTTTACATCCCAAACCTCCTTGGTGGGGTCTTTAACCCAAACCCTGGATTCCAGAGCCTTGTTTGAACCAAAAGGCTGGACTATTTGTGCTGCCAAAAGAAAAGAGCATGATACCACAGGGTGATGGCTTTGGGCAGGCATGGGATCTGGGGTTGCCCCTCCCTCCTACAGGGTGCAGAGAAGGCGGCAAGGTTTCAAAGCTAGGTCATGCCTCTTGTCAAAGGCATAACACAGTGGCTGTGGCAGCTGCTATTTTTGTGCTCCCTGAAGCTGGTTGCTTTAGAGCCCCTGTCCCCACAGTTACACTACTGCTTCTTGTGAGACTAGCACCCCAGGGCCTGGCTGGGCTGCAGGCAGGACATATCCTAAGGCTTCTGTCGTGGTCGTTCGTTCTCTCCTGTGGGCAGCAGCCGGGCCAAACCTTGCTGCAGTGCTAAGCATCACCTGAGCTGAAGTGCTCATCCCCAGAAGGCTATCAGGCCAAGCAGGTGCCATCCTAAAGGGGAGGTAGTGGCAGACGGAGGTGCCTTGAGTACAGCCCTGAGCCTGACACCTCCGCTCCAGGAGGGGCGGAGGGTTATCACTGAAAATGAGGGTTGGAAGGGACCTCAGGAGCTCATCTAGTCCAACCCCCTGCTCAAAGCAGGACAATCCCCAGCTAGATCATCCCAGTCAAAGCAAGATCTAGACAGGTCTTAAAACCCCCCAAGGATGGAGCTTCCACCACCTCTCTGTGTAACCTGCCCCAGTGTCTTATTGCCCTCCCCGGGAGAAAGTTTTTCCTACTATCCCACCTACACCTCCCTTGCTGTGACTTGAGACCATTGCTCCTTGCTCTGTCATCACTGGCAACAGTCCAGCTCCACTCTCTTTCCAACCCCCCTTCAGGTAGTTGAAGGCTGCTATTAAATCCCCTGTCATCTCTCCTCCAGACTAAATAAGCCCAGTTCCCTTAGCCGCTCCTCAGAAGCCATGTGCCCCAGCCCCCCAAAACCATTTTCAATGCCCTCCGCTGGACTCTCCAATTTGTCCACGTCCTTTCTGCAGCGGGGTGCCCAAAACACAGGACACAGTGCTCCAGATGTGGCCTCCCCAGTGCTGAACAGAGGGGGGTAATCACTTCCCTCGCCCTGCTGGCCACCCCCGTGGCGATGCAGCCCAGTCTGCCCTCAGCCTTCTGGGCAACAAGGAAAGGCAAGCGTGAAGGAACTCTGGCCCCGCAGCCCTGAGCTCTCTGCATGGCTCTCGGGGCGCCCCTGCGCCTGGCGCAGCCTCACCGCCCGGCTCCGGCTCAGGGCACGCTCCCCGCGCGGGCGCCAAGTGGCGCTAGAGG